TACCACTAATTACTAACTCTCGAGTGGCTCTGACTTTTGCTGATCGCCGAATACCTTCCCAAAGCTATATATATATATATTTATATATCGTCAAATATATATATATTTATATATATATATCTTTCACACAAAATCAAAGAATAAAATAAAAAACAAAGACACATTGAAATCATTCAGTTTCTCAATCTTCTTCACGCCTCCTCCACTATGCCTCTAACATACAAGGCTCGTCACGTTGATGAAGTTGAGAGCGCGCTGCCCCCATCCCCGCTTGCCATAACAGCCCACTTGCACGCTATGGGAAAGAGGCAGAGTGAAGGAAGAGGTGTTAAACGAAAGGAAGAGACGAGCAGAAAAGGAAAACCAATAGGCAGAGGGAGAAAAAATAAAAATAAGAAATGTTGACACAAACAACTTCTTTCTTTTACTGCATTCTTCTTTCATTCACAGTTTTGCAGTTTTGGTGAAGAGTCTACCACGTTCGCTTTTCAGCGCACCTGCACTTCCTTCTTCATTTTTCATCCTCATTTTCACCCTTCGCACTTTTCTTTTGAGGGTGTTAGGGTGCAGGGTGCAAACAAAGTAACATGACACAAACTTATGTTCTTCTTTTACTGCATTCTTCACAGTTTTGCAGTTTTAGTGAAGGGTTCCCCACCTTTGCACATTCTTCTACACTTTTCCAGCACACCTGCACATTTTTGTCAGGGTGCAAGGTACGTCTAAGAAAGATCCTCACAACAGATAGGACGACTGTCATAAGGATGCGGGCGACGGTAGCAACCCTCCCATTGATCTACAGGACGAAAACCATTCAGGTAAGCAACTTCGTCATAGCAGGAGTCAGGGCGGCTAGCATTAACCATACCTCTGAAGCATGCACGACAGAGGGCATGCCGGTTGCAGGCCATGACGATTGTGGCGCATTCACCATCACAAATAAGTGCACATTCGCTATAGCGCCCGCAGGCACAGATGGGACATACTGCATCTGGATGTCGAGGATGTTCACAATCCGGATACAGGTGGCATACCTGCCGACAGCGGGCCCGAAAAATTATACGGTTGTAGTGATGTGGACAAAGTCGATGCTTTACACAACCAAGTGTAACTGTGTCAGTGATCTCACCAAGGAGGTCACAAGGTGTTAGTCCAGCATGTGGGGGAATAAAGACTAAAGCAGGCAAGGTGACAAACATCGAGGTAGGCGTGGAGACGGACACAGAAACGGGCATGGAGACAGGTGTGGAGGCAGGCACAGAGACAGGTGCAGAGGCGGGGACGAAAGTACACGTGGTACCCATAGAGTCAGTAATCTGGAAAGAGACAGACACAGAAACAGGCACAGAGACAGGTACGAGTATATATATATATATATATATGATGAGTCGGTGAAACTCCGACGAAACAGTTTGTCACAGCCCCTCGTTTGTTGTCGTCTTCTCCCTCTCTGCCTACGGTTTACCGGGCAGTTCTATTTGACGATATATATATATATATATCGTCAAATATATATATATATATATATTGTCACAGAACTATTGACTAAGAGCGTAAGCACGTGAAGTAGAAGAAGAAATAAGATGAGCGAAAAAAGAGAAATGAAAGGAGAGATAGGCAAAGAGACGGACAAACCAAATGACGCAAAACGGTGCCCTCTTATTCTTTGTTTCACAGTACTATTATTTCTTTCAGTGTTTTACAAAAAAAGTTACACTAAATCAAAAGGATAAAAATAAAAAACAAAAACACATTGAAATCATTCAGTTTGTTATGATCCTACCAATATCGAGATACACATCCATCAGATAGTACAATGTCGTCCAATTGCAGAAAGCAACGAATGAACTTGAGAGGAGAGAGAGAATTAAAAGAAGAAGAAGAAGTAAGAAAGAAGAAGAAGATGATGTACACCAGCACAGACGAATGACAAGGCTCTTCTTCTTCGCCCAACAATCTCCTCCTCCTTATCTCCCCCTTCCCTTATAATAATGCAATGTTGAATGGCTGATCCATAATCGATGTTTGAGTTCCTCTTCTACTGCAGGTATCACTTGAGGTCCACCATAGCCATGGCCGCCTCTCCCACTCTTCACTCTCATAGGCCGGGGCCATGGCGGACTACCAGGCCTTGCCCAGATGCCCAAAGGACAACCCAAAGCAGCTATGGCTGCTCTAGCTCAGGCCGCCATGCCCGACCCTGCCTCGAAGCTTCTTGGTGTAGCTTTCCCCAGTTGGGGACTCCCTGCTGCAGCGCCCACCAAGGTGATGAAGACGGCTGCCACCATAGCCAGGTAAGCACCCCTGGCACTCCTCCCCCTTCCTGTCCTTCTTCCTCCTCCGTGTCCTTTTCCTTCCCCCACCAGCGCTGCTCTTGGATAGTGCTGCTCCAACCGGTGCTCCAACCAATGTGTCGCCAAACTCGCACACTGAGAAAGAGGCCCGGCTCTTCTCCCCACTGGGAGATATAGCGGCTTGCTTGCCTCTTCGGGCGGTGACTTCCAAGCCGCTCGGCCTTCCAAGCAACCGGTACCTCCTCCCTTTCGGAGGGAAACATCATTGCAGACTCTGATATTGCCCATACAGGCCCTAGACCCAAACTGGTTGGACTGGTATCCACCTAGACCTAACGTACAACTATTGGGCCCCTAAAAATGCCACTTTTGTCTTCTTCTGCTCGGCCTCAAGTACCCGCACATCTACCCCTTCAGGGTGCGGTACCGGCCTACCCAATACTTGAGTGTTTTTCCTGCTGCAATCCCTCAATGTCACGGCCACAGGTAAGTACCGGCCCTGAGGGCCTAATGAACGAGGAAGTGCCCTTGAGGGCCACACACACACTCAAGCCAACCACCACTTAGACACGCACGGTCACACACGGACACTCAAGCCAACCAGCACTCAAACAGGCACAGCCACACACACACTCAAGCCAACCAGCACTCAGACAGATATGCAGTCCAGCAAGCGTGCACACACAGACTTCGTAGCAGGCGCGAAACTCAGCAAAGCATCCAATCTAGGGGCAAAACTCAGAAATCAGTCGTGTGTTTCAGCCCATGTTAGGACGGCTCATCACACTACCCCCCCCTCAAGAGCGAGGTCCCTTCGAGCGAGTAACTCATTCTGAGTCCTTGACAAACGCATCGTAAGCAAGCAAGGCAAAGAGGTTCCTAGAACACTCCATCGTATTAAGCCTTGCAGACATCTTAGGAGTAGCGTTAGCTGCAATTTTCGCTCGTAGGCTTTAACAACACATGGTGCGCTGCGTAGCAGTTCCTGCTTGGAAATCCAATACAGATCGCCCAACGGGTGATACATGAAGTGAACCCAGAGTTGCCTGATGCGTCCCTTCCCTACGTGGTGTTTAATTATGTCTATCTAATGCCCGCCTTTGATTGCACGAGGGATCATGTCTTCGCGATAATCAAACGTCTTAGCGTCACGGTGGGGGTACAGTTTTGATGCATGGAACATGGGGTATATGCGCAGATGAGCTGGCACATCAACTATGTACGAAGGGCCAAAGTGATCTTCGCCAATCACATGCAAAACTTCCCACGGGCCATAGTAGAGTGGGAGAAGTTTGCGAGAGACTCCCTCTTCTTTTGAAAATTCAAACATCTTGACCCAGACATAGCTTCCTACCTGAATATCCGACGGTCGGCGCCTTTCGTTCACATGATGGATCATGGCGTGATATCGTTTGGTCATTGCTGCAATGGCAACTTTGAGCAAGCGATCATACTTGGCCTTGAAGCCAAGCCTGCCGGGTGTTAAGCCAATTGGCTCTTCAGGGAATAGGTAGGAGAGCGGATTACGGATCTGCCAACCGTAATGCAACCTGTTGGGTGTCATGCCGGTGGCGGAATGGACGGAGTTGTTTTACAACCGCTTAACGGAATACAGCTCTTCGTCCCATGTTTCCTGATCCGGAATAATCAAGGCACGGAGAAGTTGAAACACAGTCTGGTTGATCTCCTCAGCCAAACCATTGGCTTCGGGGTGTCGGTCAGATGTCATACACAGTTTGATCCCTAGTTGAGACGTGAAGTCCTTCCATTCAATACTAATGAAGCGCGGATCCCGATCGCTCACAAGAGTCTTCGGGGTTCTGAACTGCACAATGTACTTCTGTTGGAACTCACGGATCACTAGTTCTGTTGGAGCGTGAGGTGGCAAAGGAATCAGATTAAGGAACTTAGAGAATAGGTCAACAATCACCATGACTTGTGAGTAGCCTCTCTTACTTACCTTTCCCAAGTCGGTGAAGTTGCTGGAGACGGACTCCCCGGGACCCTCGGGAATGGCAAGGGGTGTGAGTAGCCCCATGGGCTTTTGACTGCATGGTTTGATTCATTGACAAACTTGACATTCAGCCACAAACTTTTCAGCAGTCCCTTTCATGCCAAGCCAATCAAACTATCTCAGCAGATTTGCGTACGTCTTTGCCATGCCGAAGTGTCCGCTCCGGCCATGGGCAAATCCAGAAAATGCGTGCGGAGAGGCTCACGGTTGGGCACACACAAGCGGTCGTGGTTCTCGTAGCGACGGATAAACAGTCCTCCATATTCGTGAAAATCAGGCTGACTACTAGGAACAGCCCGCAACCGGTCAAGGATGGGACTAAGTTCCGAATTCTTGGCATTATGCTCTACGAGCTCCTCCTTCAGTTTCTTCCGGAGGTCGTAGGATTTCATAAGGCAAGTCGTGTACTCAGGGTGGCGAGACAATGCGTCAGCGACTCGGTTGTAACTACCCTTTTTGTGTCTCAACTCAAAGTCAAAGATGTCAATTTCATGGAACCAGCGAATTCACGTAGGGGACAAGGTGGTTTGCTCCTTGATCCACTTCAGAGTCTCATGATTTGAGAACACTTTGAAGTGGCGTCCCAAAAGATAGTGCTTCCAATGATCCAAAGCCATACGCAAAGCATAGAGCTCGCGCATGTAGGTGGAAGTGGCTACCTTTACGTTGGGCATGCATTTGCTGTAGAATTCGAGCGGCCGCAAGCCATCGCCGTCATGTCGCTGCAGCACTGCGCCAATTCCATACTGACTTGCATATGTAGTAACACGAATGTCAGTTTGGGACCTGCAATATGGAGTACTGGATAACTTACCAAGGCTTCTTTCAAAGCTTGAAAGGCGTTCGTGCACGCGGTGTCCAAAGAATAAGGAACATTTTTGCTTGCCAGCCGGGACAATGGACGAGCAACAATAGAGAAGCGGGGCACAAACTTCTGATAGTATGACGCAAGACCAAGAAAAAAGCGCAGTTCGCGGACGTTCGCGGGCTGAGGCCAATTGCGTATAACTGCAACCTTGGTTGCCTCAGGCTCTATGCCTGCAGCAGACAACCGATGCCCAAGATACATTACGCTATCCTTCCCAAACTCAGGTTTCTCTCGTCTGAGATGGAGTTGCGTCTTCTTGAGGATAGTGAGCACTTCCTCATGGTGCTTGAGGTGTTCCTCCATGGATTTGCTGAAGATTAGTATATCATTGAGGTATACCACCACGAACCGACCAATCTGTTCGCGGAGGACCTTGTCCATGAAGCTTTGGAAGGTGGTCGGTGCGTTCGTGAGACCGAAGGGCATTACAGTAAACTCGTAAAGCCCATAGGGTGTTTTCAACGCAGTCTTGTGCTGGTCCGCAGGATCGACTTCAATCTGGTGGTAGCCAGACTTTTGATCGATCTTGGAGAAAACCTTGCACCCACCTGCTGCATCAAGCAAGGCATCTATGCGGGGCAATGGATAGGCGTTCTTTCTTGTGATGCGGTTTAGACCGCGATAGTGAATACACATGCGTAGTTTGCCTCCATTCTTCGGAACAAATAACACAGGAGCACCAAATTCAAGCTCACGAGGCTTGATCCACCCTTTGTCAATCATGTCGTCAATCTGTCGCCGGAGTTCCTCCAACTTGCCGGGTCCCATTCGGTATACGCAGCCCTTTGGAGGAATAGCACCCTCGACCAACTCGATGGTGTGTCGGACCGATCGCGTGGGGACTCCACGTGGCTCGACCGAAACTTCTGGGAACCGATCGAGTAGGTTTTGGATGTTTGGTGAAACCGGTGGAGGTGGAGGATCACATCGGGACTGCAGCCAGCCCAAGCCAAGGACACCGTCGAAGGGGCACTTGTCAAGAACATAGAAGTCCAACGAGTCTGTGACAGTTTTGTCCTTGTCAAAGGTAGTGCACACACCTTTGACTACATGCGTAGAAGAGGCAACTTCTTTGTTGCCCACTTGGGTTCGACAAGGGTTTTGCAAGGCCACTTGCTTCATTCCCAAGCCCACTTTGCGTATTCGATGAGGTGACACAAAGTTAGCAGTAGCGTTGTCGAGCGCATCGGCCCCCGTGCGAGCGAAGGCCCTCTCGGCCGCGTCACGCAGGAGAAACGCAGGCTTTCAACCTTTTAGAGACAACTCGGGGGCGACACGGTAACCCGCGTCGACCCTTCGCCGCTCCGGCCGAATGCGCCAGCTGTACATCCCACGGTCCCCTACGACAGGATAGGTTCATGCGGGGCACAACTTACTCTCCCTAAGGGGCTGTCACCACCCTTAGGGGCGTATCCCCGCCGAGCTACCGACCCACATGCGAAGGCTTTTATAATGCAATTGCAGAGGTGGGCCGACCGAGGGCGTTTGCTCTTTCGCTGTTGCATAGGTACGCATGGTTAAACGCCAAAGTGGACCCAGACGTCGCCCGTCCCTTGGGCGCTGATCTCCCAAGAATCAGACCGACGTCGGTCGACTAGGACGTGATATTCCAAGCTTGAGAAAATCTCGATCAATCCTAGTCCCTTCTTTCAAAGACGATTTGAAATTAATAAGACAAAATGCTTTCAAAAAAAGACTCAAGTCAACGTAAGTTGACTTATCTTCTGAGCTCAACTTATATATATAATACACTCATACATCTGACAAAAGTCGACTTGACACTTATCAACAAAAGAGCAAACCATGACCATTCCGCAAAGCGACGCTCAAATGACGTCTGACTAAAATATCTCCACTCTACCTTCAAGACGGCTAGACTGTCACGACTTTTTCGACTTGATGAGATGCGTTGCCAAGTTCTTTCATTCCGCCCCATACTGACTGCTAGAAGAGAAGCGCAGACATCTCCCAACTCTCACGTAGAGCTATGATGCCATTGCTTTAATGGTGACTTCATTATCTTTCTAACTTAGATGTGAATGCCATCTGCAAGTAATCCGGCTACCGCTATACAAGTCAGCACTCGACTTGAACAACCGACCACTGGATGCCCCATCAAGGTTAAGGATCCGCTTTCAAATTTTGTTAGTCGCTTTGTCTTCCTAACCCTCGTTGACCCTACTGAAAAGGGTTGTTCTCGGCTACTATCCAGGCCTTGCTCACTACATCGACCACATTGGTCCTCGCTTCTCGTGGCGAGACCAACCATGACAAGAGTGCCTAGCCGCGCTCCGTTCCAACTAGTCGCCATGAATTGAGCTTCTTGTGGCTCAACGTTCTATGCACGAGTGACCCCTAACGACCACTAGGGGAACCGACCACTGCATGCCCCATCAAGGTTAAGGATCCGCTTTCAAATTTTGTTGGTCGCTTTGTCCTCCTAACCCTCGTTGACCCTACTGAAAAAGGTTGTTCTCGGCTCTAACTATCCGGACCTTGCTCACTACATCGACCACATTGGTCCTCGCTTCTTGTGGCGAGACCAACCATGACAAGAGTGCCTAGCCGCGCTCCGTTCCAAATAGTCGCCATGAATTGAGCTTCTTGTGGCTCAACGTTCTATGCACGAGTGACCCCTAACGACCACTAGGGAGTATGCTATGGCAGCTCCCCGTAACGTGAGGCGTTAAGAACTTAGGCTCTTCCATGAGTAGGCACATGTCCTCTCCCTAGGAGGTGGTCTGGGATACCCCTCGTCCTCGCCCGAGCGAATCTCGGATCTCAGAAGTCGTGCTGGCTCCACCACATAGCATGGTATCCCCCCGCATAGGCGGTCCAGTCCGAGTCAATAGCAGGGCCGGCCCCTAAGGCAGCGAACCCTCGGCTCAGATGCCTTCTAGGAAAGGAAAACACGTCTACCATGGCAGCAAACGATCCCTCGCCGCCTGACGTCAAGGGTAACTTAGACGAAGGGAAGAGATCACAGAAGAGAAAATCAATCGGAAGGACTGGCATAGACAAAGAGGGTCATTCGGGAAAGAACAGGTATACTCGTAAAAAGTCCATGTTCAATTGATTTTTTTTTTCTTTATGTGATCAAATTCCTTTTTCGTCGTATACTGGTTGCCCTCTCTTTAACATGCATGCAAGCGAGGAATAAAAGACAGTCATCCCTCCATTCACTTTCATTAATACGGATAGGTTCCTCTTTCTCAGACACTCCTCTACCTACCTGCACAACAAGTCAAACAACAGATTCAAAAGAAGACAATGCAACCCCAAACTTATGTCAGACTTCCATTCACACGCGCAACCACACATTCCCCCTACCTTTTCAGTGAACATCCAAAGAAAAGGTCAAGCAAAGTGTGGGTTCACACAGGTGTGAAGGGGTCTGAGTCAAACTAACTGACCTTGAGTGAAGTTGAATAGACGGCCCACTCAAGAAGACCGTGTAAGATCGCACTCCAGAGAAGACAATCGTCACAACAAGTCGCCCGCAAAACGATCTACACCACTCCCCACTACGCTCGCTTGCCGCGACACCCTCTCAACACAACCACCTCCCAGTAATCTGACAGCCTCTCAGCGTCGCCGCCACCAACCMCACCACCACGCCGTTGCCGTCAATACCAGAACATGCTGCCACAAAATGTCCCGCACAGTCTACGCGCTTCCACGTCACCACCTAGAACGTGCTGCTGCCGCCGCAAAAGTTCAGCAGCACGTCCGCGTCGCTGCCAGAAAAAAAACACCGTCGACGCTGGCAGATTTTGACAGCACCTCCGTGTCACCACCAAAATCTCAGCGCTGCCGCCGCAAAAAAAATTGGCAGCGCTTCCGCACCACCGCCGTCAAACCCTGCGCTGTCGCCGCAAAATTTCGGCAGCGCTTCCGTATCACTACCAAAAATTCAGTGTCGTTGCCGCAAAAAAAATTGGCAGCGCTTCCGCACTACCGTCAAAAAGCGCCGCCGTTGCCGTGCCAAATAGGCAGTCTCCCCTGCACTGCTCGCCGAAGACTTGCCGCCGCCGTGCAAAACGGGCAGAGTTTCCCCTGCACCGCCTGCCGAAAAACCTGCCGTCGCCGTGCAAGACGGGCAGAGTTTCTCCTGCACCGCTTGCTGAAGAACCTGCCACGAACAGCAGCACCTCCTGCTGGCACCCCGCAGCACGGTGGTTATGGAAGCCTCCCCTCTCTTCACCTCGTTGAGATGGCGGCTATGGCTGTGTTTCACAGCTATGGCCACCTCCAGCAATCCTCCTGCGCTCCTTCCTCCTTCCTTGCTGAGATGGCGGCTATGGCTGTACTCTACAGCTATGGCCACCTCCAGCAACCTCTTCCTTCCTCCTGCAAACCTCCCTCGCAGCCAGCAGCTCCGCTACGTCTCATTTCTCTGCAGCCAGCCAGCAGTCTCACAAGTGAGAGCCCAGCATTGCTGCCAAGAATGCTTGGCTGCTGGGGCTAGAGGCTGCTTTTATAGTTTCTCTCAGCCAAAAATCCGAGCTCAGGTTGGGCCCGGGCACATACCAGCCCACACAGCAGAAATGGCCAGGCTCATTCACAAGGAAAAGGACCTGGCCCTTTCCTTGAAATAAATTCAGCAAGGGGAGGCTGTATTCAGCCACCTCCCTTGTTGATCTGCTACTGCTGAGGTTCAACCTCAGCAGTGCACCTTCTCCTAGACCTGACCAAGTTCAGAGCTAGGCTCTTAGCTGGTTTGCTGCACAAAGTGCAGCAAACCACTCAAGAACATGGCCCCAACCGTGGCCAGGTTCAAATAATAAAAACAAGGAAACTCTCCCCTTCCCTAAACCTGGCCATGTTCGGTGCAAGCCCCCTAGCTGGTTCGCTGCACAAGTGCAGCAAACCGCTTGGGAACCTGGCCGCAACAATGGCCAGGTACAAAACTTCTTTTATTTTTGCTGCTGTTCCAGCAGCCTCGTTTTTCCTCAGTCTCCCCCTTTTTTTTTTCTTTGTGAGGGGGCAACTCGCCGTTCAAAACGAACGGCCGCCCCCCAAGTCATTTCTCAGAGTCGAAGTAGAGTCAAGCTCAACAGGGGCTCCTTTTCTGTGTGTGCCCGTATCAGGCACAGTAACCAGCGCTGATACAGGCGCGTAGTCGGAAGAGCCGACATCTAAGGACCAAAAGCAACGTCCCCATGAACGCTTGGCTGCCATAGCAGGTGTCCCTGCGACATCTGTACTTGGACGCGACCTGTGCCAGGTACAGCGCCGCAGAAACGAAACGGCCCATTTGCCAAGGCGAACGGGTGCACCACTTGAGTATATACTGAAAGAAAAAGAAAGAAAGTAAAACACACACAAAAAAAATCTCATCTAAAGAAACAAATCTGAAAAAAAAAAATGACTTGTGCCCCGAACGTAGCTGCCTAGTGGCTGCTGATTCATTCAGTGTTTGCCCATCCGTGGATGGACTGTCGGGGCACAACCCTCTGATGGGTCAGTGGAAATCCGTTGAAACAGTCTGCTACAGCCCTTTTGAACGCACTCAGACAGATTGGATAGTCTGTTTGGCAGAAGGGGGGGTCCAATGGTCGATTCATTCGATTTTGCTCATCCTATAGATGGCAATGGCGAGGGGGTGGTGCTAGGTAGGTCACTTCGTGCCCTCTCTCTCTCTCTCTCTCTCTCTCTCTCTCTCTCTCTCTCTCTCTCTCTCTCTCT